AAATCTACAGAGGCACCTCTATCAGCCTGGGCACTATATTTACCTCTCTGCCAAACCCAATGTTTACCTAACGCCTTGCCTCTCCAGTCTCCACACCTGCAAATGATTGGGGCTAATGGTTTAAATTGATGTGAAGAGGGAGGATATACTCCACTCTACTAGAGATGATGTCACCCGGTCACTATCTTGAGTTCAGCACGGATCACTAAAAGACAAATCAAGAAGGCAGTCAGCCACACTGACTTCCTGTTAAGACCGATTTCACAAAAACTTACTCAACCTTACAGTGGAAAAATCTTCTCTTTTTTTTTCTGAAGGAAATTGTCCTTTAGGTTTGCACATTGCATTGCATAACCTATTATCTATCCTCATTGACACACAGAAGAAAGGCATTGTGTCTATGGTTTGGATCAGCCAGTTAGTCAGACAGACATGGAACAATTAGTGTATGTTGCACAGTAAGTGTGAATGTTTAATGCGCAACACTTAAAGGAAGATGCATTAGCTTACTGAATCAAAATTATGTCAGTCAACTCTAATGTAGTCAGACTGGAGCTTGACAAATGCTGATGATGTCATTTACAGGTTCAGTAGACGCAAAAGAAAACTGGCGCTGTTTCGACACACGCGATTTGATTTCAAAAGGCTGCATGAGAAAGTCTTCACACCCATGACTGTGTGAAGTGATGTGAACGACAACAATTCCTAGCCGATCAACAAGTTATGAATGAATAGTGCACATAAAAAGTAACACTTGATATTCACATCAGCCAGTAGACATTATAAATACAGTAATTATTAACATGACATACATATATTACAATAGTATAGTGTACTCAGTGTAAAGACCTGATTATTGAATTGGTTCATTCATGTTATATAAATGGAATGCCTATTCAGCGTGATTCATTGCCATTTGACCGTCAAGGAGCAAATCAAGTTAAGACAGAGGCAAGAATCATGTCAGACATTAGAAGGTTTACAAAAAATGATGTGAAAAGGGAAAAACTATATGCTTGATGCTAGAAGTCAGATGAGAATGGGCCGACTGATTTAAGCTGATAGAAGAGCAACTTTGACTGAAATAACCACTCGTTACAACTGAGGTTCATGAGGTATGCAGCAAAGCATTTGTGAAGCCACAACACGCACAACCTTGAGGCGGATGGGCTACACCAGCAGAAGGCCCCACCGGGAACCACTCATCTCCACTACAAATAGGAAAAAGAGACTACAATTGGCAAGAGCTCACAAAAAGTGGACAGTTGAAGACTGGAAAAATGTTGCCTGGTCTGATGAGTCTCGATTTCCGATTTTGGATGTGCATCCCACAAATCTCTATCAACTGCAAGATGCTATCCTATCCATATGGGCCAACATTTCTAAAGAATGCTTTCAGCACCTTGTTGAATCAATGCCACGAATTAAATTAAGGCGGTTCTGAAGGCGAAAGGGGGTCAAACACAGTATTAGTATGGTATTCCTAATAACCCTTTAGGTGAGTGTATATTTAAAGCATGTTTAGATATTATTACTGGAAAACAAGACAAAAATACTGATTAAGAGAAAGATTTTGTTGTGCTTGAGTTTGGAGAAAATTAGTTTCAGGAATCAATGTATATTAGAAAAACAGATCAATAGATTTTCAGAAATTGGAAAATTGTTCCCATTTGTTACTCCTTGGTTAAATTGTAGATGAACTGAAGTGTTAGTATTTTCCAAACGGGAATATCTGATCTGCAAGAAATTTCTGTCTCCCCCTCATGTCTCCAGAAACTTCAAACTACCCTCACTAACTTTAGCCCATCCATGCATACTGTGAAAAACATGTCTCAATAAATATAACCCTGGGTTATGTAACACCTGTATGTAATCATTACAGTATTTATACCAAGGGTCTCTGTAGTGTCAACGAGAAGAAAGTTTCTGAGAAAATAAACTATATCTGGTCTTGCACAATCTAACTCAAACTTGAGATGCAACACTCCCACCTAGAGGCCAAAAACACACCAAAATCTTGGATAAAATGGCAGGTCACATGCCACAGTAAACCTGATTTAAATCTTTGTTGATCCTAGAACAACATTTCAATCAACCAATCAGTCAGATTTGAGCAACAAGTTTAAAGTTTATGCCAAGTTTTGGCTTACAAACAGGGTTAGGTGGTTATACATCAGTGTTATTTACCAATCATTCTGATTTTAGGGATACATTATGGGTATGTTTAGCTTTAGGGGTAGGGATAAATATTCAAACAGGAATGTTGTCCCAGGATTAAAATATGTTGACCCAGGAACATGCCTTACTTGCCAAAATCACTGTGACCCATATGCTACAGCTCCCTGTGGAGGTTTTCTCTGTGCTCTCTCTCTCTCTCTCTCTCTCTCTCTCTTTCCGACATCTACATATTCCCTAAGAAGGTGTAGAAAGGTGGAGAAAGTAAAGCCGTGTGGAAAGTGTCAAGTCATGGCATGGATAGCATTCCAGAGCCTGGCTCCTCTATGCCGACCAAGACTATTTATATTGACAGGATGAGGCCCGGTTGCAGTGGCAGAGGGAGACGGACAAGGCTTTGCGTTTCCAGTGTGCAACCACTACGTCCCGGAGTCCAACTGTATCTTGGTCCCCTTTCATTATGCAACCCTACGTGGGCTGAAATCTCATTTTACTGTTGCCCCTCTCTAGCTCGACACTGAACCTCCTGTTGCTGGGCCCTGGGGTGGAAAACAGTGTGTGCTGCTGTGCAGATCGAAAAATACAGAGCTCTGTGTTTATGCACTCAGACTACAGTAATCGAACATCAAACATCTTATGTCAGGCTAAAAACCTATTTATTTATTTTTGCTTGAAAATTCAACACTGCTTTTTTTTTAAATACTTTTAAATTATTTTGATACTTTCCCCTTCATTTCATAATTACTATAATAGCAACTTGTAAGTGCAGGCTGAAATGACTTTCCTTGCTGGTCCAGACTGGTTTATACTGGTTAGATCTGAATTAATGCTATTCTAGCTGGTGAACTATGCTGTTTGACAGCGAAATATACATTAGGCCTGTTTCATGCCACACATGTAAACAATGCATAATCAGACCAAATTAACAGACTGCAGCATTTATACTGCCTGTGTAAGCAGCCTGAAAATATGGTGAAAACTACACTTTGATTACTCTTCTGTTACTGTTTAGATGTACATTTAGTGCCTTTCCTCGTGTTATTTAAAGCGGTGGTTGATTTTGATTTTAGTTAGAACTTTAGTTAGTGTGATGTTGCTGTTTGAACATAAACAACATCTGCAAAGTTGGTATGCTCAAAGTTCAAAGCAAATAAAAGGGAGATCTTTTATTTTTTGCATTTAAAGGGACAGACACAAAAACTGTGTGTTTTTGTTCACCCTCAAAAAGTGACAACTTTAACATGCTATTTAAACATATAGCTTCACAACTTCACATACACACTCTGGGGACATCAGAGATTTATTTTACATCTTAAAGTTAATATTTTCTATTACTCAGTCATCATAACCATTTACTTCCATGGTTTTTTCCCTTACTACGGAAGTCGCCATCAACTGCATAGTTACCAACTTTCTTTAAAATATCTTCTTTTGTGTTCAGCAGAAGAAAGAAGCTCATACAGTTTTGAACCAACTTGAAGGTGAGTAAATGATGACTAAATTTTCATTTTTTGGGTGAACTAACCCTCCCTTTAAATTAAGAACACAGAATGTACAGTACATCACATTTTTTATTTAAAGTTTTCAGTGTTTTGAGTATAGATTGTGGACAGTGGAAACACCACCACCAACAGCCTTGCATGCCAGTAAAAACAACGGCAATAGACATCACATTAAAGAAAGCCTCCGACTGATAGCGACTGGTGGTTCTTAGAATATTTCATAAGTGTTATCAGTGGAGTGGGGAGATCCGCTCGAATGAAAATCTCTTTTTAAAACAACTCAGGTGTTCAGTTGCACTTTTAATTTTAATGAGAGGAATATTGGGAGCAGATTACCAAAAGTGTGGAAAGTAACTGAGTTCACAGACCTCATCACTTCTTTGCAAGAACACACAGTTACTAGAATGAAAGCGTCTGCTAAATGCAAGTAAACAACCCCACTCAACATGATTCCTAAGGTGGGTAATGGGACCACACAGACATTCTGTGGTCTGTTTGCCACCACTAATTTCCACACAGTCTCTTATTGGACACTATGCTCACACGATGTGGGTAGTTGCATCATCAAGAGTATCTCTGAAACATATGTACAAACACATATGCATGTTGTCTTAATTGATCTCAAGCCCATGATTCTGTTCACTGATCAGTGCCACCATCTCAATAATGTGTGAACTTAAAGCATATAGGTACATACTGATGAATTTCAAAACTTGCAATGACCAAATTGAGAAAAAAGTTGATAGATCTAATGTTCTAAGGTGTTTAGACCATGAACAAATATATAGCAAGTTCCCAAGTGAGCTTAAATTTAGAGTATAACCTTTGATGAGAGTGTCCCCTCTGATCCCACTGATTAAGACTTCAGCCACTCCAAAGGAACTCAAAACAAAAGTTAAGGGGACAGGTGCTCTTGTTTTAATATATGTGTATTGGACAGTACATCTACACAATAAAAGTAGCCTATTGTCATTATCACTTTAGTTTTACACATCACAAATATATTATCAACATTTGCATTTCACGTCAAACATCAATAACCTTAACCGCAATCTCAAAAATTACTACAAGTTCTATTTAAAGGTCAATTTGTGTTTCTTTGGAACATTTGCAGGGATCATTCTAAGATTCCACAGGAGTCTGGCGTCGCACCAAGACTAGCAGTGATATCACTAAAAATAGCATCTGTTTGTTTGTAACTTTCCAGTACTGGCATAAAAATATCTGCAATGTCTGCTTTCATGAATCTATTAAGAAAACATTACAACCCAATACTAGCAGTACTGGCAATACCGGAGTAAATATAATGAATGGTTTTCATACCTGACTAGCGGAAGGGGGTTTCCAGTGACCCGGCATTCCAGGCGGATAGGACTTCCTTCTGCTACTTCCTGGCTCTTCAGTTTCTGGGTGAAGTGTGGAGGAGCCATGGGTCCATCTAGACTAACACCTCGTCCCTGATCCTCACCTGACCCAACATCAACTCGGCTCTGCTGCACGCCTTCCTGCTTGGGCTCAGATGAAGATGATGAAGGTGGCTGAGCCTGCTGCATGGCCAGCCGGTGGCTCCTTGGAGACAAGTAGCCACTGTCGGGTGAGGAGGAGTCTTCATCAACTTTCTGCTCCACACGTGCGGAGCCTTTGAAGATGGAGGAGAGCTCCTCAATGAAGGTAGCAGCTCGGCTGCAGAACTCAGTAGCTGAAGCGGCTCGTTCGTTGAGCTCCAGGCCTCCGTGGACCAGCCGGGGCCGGTCCTGCTTATATACTGGCGTGATTGTTTTTTGGCAGATGAACTTTTCGGGCGATTCAGGAGCAGTGCAGGGCTGGTTAGGCCTGCTGAGCGGCATGCTCTGATTGGATGTGACTTTGCCAGATGTGGCGTCAGCTGACTGTGATGTTGAATCTTGGAGAGCGTGGTCTTTGGTTTCTGAATAAAGGGGCAGGTGCTCTGTGGAAACAGGTGGTAGATCTAGGTCATTTGGTTCACCTGCGTCACTCATGGCTTCTCGAGCCAGATCCAGACTGAAGTTCATCTCGTCTTGGCTCAGGAAAGCAGAAAGTTCTGGAAAGTCCCCATCTCCACTATCTAGCTCTGGTACTGAGTCCAAGTAAACCTCACCATCAAGAGATGGCACCGAATGCACGCCCCCATCCCCCTCGAAGGACACGTGCCCTGGAGGACATGCCTCTTTTATCAGCAGAGAGAGGGGGAGTGTGTCATTCCAACTCCTGTCCTGCATCCTGCAATACACAAATCCATACAAAGACAGGTGAAAAAAAAGTTTTATAAAAAATACATAAATCAGTATTAGAATCATAGTACAGTGAATTTCTGTGTTATACGCCATATTCATGCACTCACACTCACACCAGAGATGGATCACAGGCAGTTGTCGTATGATGACTCAGACTGGCATACTTTGAGCACAGCTGTCCGGCATTAACAAGGCATGAGTGCCATTTAACACTGATGCTGCCTTTATCTTGTTTATTCCCTCGTCTATTATCTACTCTATTTTTGATAGACAAGACACTGAAGACAACCCGACAGTCATTTTTGGGTCTCAATAATCTGACACATTAAATAAAAATAAACATACACAGTAGCTACTGTGTATCTTCTTTTGAACTTTCTATTCTTAAAGATAGAGAAAAGGAAAAAGAAGAAATGTTTCTTGCATATTAAATCAGCATATTAGAAAGATTTCTGTGACACTGAAGACTGGAGTAATGATGCTGAAAATCCAGCTTTGCAATTATATTTTATTTTAAAATAGAAACCAGCTATTTTCTGTTTAACATTTCATAAAATTACTGTTTTTCTCTATTTTTGACTAAATAATTTTAGCCTTTGTTAAGCATAAGAGCATAACTTATGCTTAAAACCTTTGAACAGTATTTTTATAAATAAAATAAAAATAATGACATTAAATATATGCATGCTACTTTTATATGTAGATATTTTTATATAAATGTTAAAAAAAGCATGTGTATGATGGAATCTTATTAGGTTTCATAAAAGGTGGGATCATGAGGCGCTTCATAAAGCACTGTAAAAAAAATATTTTCATGATTTGTAATCACAACATTTTTTTCTTTTGTAAAATCAACTTAGATAATTTATGTAGTTCAGATAACAAAATATTTTGAGTTTACGGTGATTAAATTAATCTCCTTCATTGTATTAATTCAATTTTTTCCATTTCAATGAACTTAAAATTTGAAGGCAACAGTATTTACAGACTGTAATGCTTGTTTATTGGTATTAAGTCATTTGTTGAAAAAAAAACATTTATAAATACATTTCTTTTCAATCAATTTAATAGGCACATTTTTAATATTTCAATTAAAATACACGCACTGCATCGAGTGATTCACTATGCTGCCTTCATAAGGGATCTTAATAGACAGAATGTTATGCAACAGGTAAACTTATTAAACGCACCAGCATTTTGAAATTCACTCTCAAGTCCATTTGTTACGGTTGATCCATAAATGTAAACTAATATTTTATTAAAGAAAAAGGTTTTGTTTTAATGTATTATTGGCTGCTTCATGACCCTATTGTGGGTTTGAGTTTTGTGGAAAAACAGTGTCGGAATCCGACATTGAATGATTGCATCCTCAATAACCTGTGGAGAGGATCCTTCGCCATAATTCAGGGAAAGTGTTTGGTCTGACATACCACACATTGGTGAAACATTAATACGAGACAGTGTCTGCAGCATAGCGAAACCCTTCAACCAACAGATCAGGTCTCCGAGAAAACACACCTCAGCTCTGAATACGTGCGGGGGAACTGGCCAATGTGTGTTAACACTTCATGCACATGTCTGAGACACGTTAATGTGTTCCTGCTAACTTTATGGCTGCTTTTCTACTGTAAATGCTTGTTTGTACGTGTACATTTATTATTTATGGTCTATTAATTGATGACATAAAGTGTCTTTATTTCATCATGTCTTCAGGTTTTGTTAAAGTCGACTTTGTTTACGCAATGTTCACATAAAGTGACCAGGTGTTGTATGTAAAGGTGTGCGGGCATGTGTGTATACGAAGAGGCACATGACAGTGTGACTTTCTCTCCATCATGGCGTCCTGAAGGCCAGCTGTTGTTATTTTTAATCCTCAAGGGCTGCATTTCACAGCAGCAACCACCTCCCCACCAAGAGTCCTTTTTTACACATAAGCACACACACATGCTGCTTCTGTATTATTCATGTGGAAATTATGGCATCTTTATTCTGTACTGTTGAATTATAGATAGCGGAATCTAAATGTGACAAGACAAACAATTGTGAAAGCCAAGACTGACATGCTTGATTTTCCATCTCTGTTGAAGTATTATTCTGATGCCGAAATACTAAACGGAATGAAATAGTGCAGATGACCATTCATTTGAGAACTGTTCTGATTCTAATTATATAATTTACTATAATTTGTTGTTTTGTAGCAGAATGAAAATTATTCACATTGGATCTTCTACTTACAGTCAATGACATTATGTATAAACAACTAGTACAAACAAAAAAACAAACAAAAAAAAAAACCCCAGCCATTTACCTTAAGTCAGTTTCTGGAAATATCTGTCCCCGTCAGATGGTTCCAGTTTTCCTCAAGATCTCTATGCCAGAAAATTAGAAAAGATGTCTCCTTTCCTCAAGGAGCTGTGGGTCTTTTCTCTGTCCAAATTTTCTTTTGTCTTGTTTTACTGAGTGCTCTGAGGTGAGCCGGTTAGAGTGGCTGGAGAGTGGCCTGCTGTCCCATCTGTCTCGGGCCCTGGCGCTTAATGAGTACCGCTAATTTTGGACCCTAGCTCAGGTTACACAGCAAGAGAGAGAGAGAGAGAGAGAGAGAGAGAGAGAGAGAGAGAGCTCTGGGGTGTTTAGCATTCAAGTGCCCACACCACATCAAAGACATCATTTTCATATCCACAAAGGCATGTAAATATATTTTGCAGACATACACTTGACTGTTCGGTTAAAAACAAGTCACCAAAGCACTCAACCTACATCACAGGTAAAATAGCAAATAAACTACTCATTTAACTTCTCAAAATATCTTTGTTTTGTCTGCAGTATCATCTGTCCAAGAAATTTAGTATTTAAAATGAGTGATCATGTACATTTTTCCGTAGTGCACTAACTTTAAATAAATTTACTATGACGCTTTAAGTAATATTCATCATTACGAATCCATTTTATTACGGAGACATGACACTTTCAGAACCAATGTGTGCCAGTCACTAAAGACTCTAAGTTTAACCTTATATCAATAGCTCAGTCCCTAAATATACTGTTATCCCAATAACACACCCAACCAAAACAGAGAACTTTATATAGGAACGAGGACACACAAAAAACTGCAACAAAGTTTACATGCTCAGAAGCTACATTGGTAGACTATGTTTTTTGGATTCCTCTTACTGTCTATACTTTATGATATAGCAAGACAAGCAGCTTCATGTTTTTTTGTTTTGTTTTTTTGGATTTATGACACACTTTCTGGCTGACTAAGATGGAAATTTAACCACTTTTATAGTTCTTTTAAAGTCTTTTTGAAGCCTAAAAGCTCCTGTTAAAAACAGCAACCAGGATTGTAATTTCTCCTTTAGTGTTTGAAGAAATAAAGAAATTAATCCAGGTATGGAATGACATGAGGGTGTAAGTGATGACAGATTTTTCTGTTTCTTCAACATGTAAAAACGAGAGCCTGTCCGTGGTTTAAGAGAGGTGTTTCAGACGGACGGCAGATGTGGCCGTGAGTGTTGCAGTAAGAGTCTATTTCAAGACACTTATCACATTCACTTTATAAACACTGACAGCACAGAGCTATTCCCGTTTCCCAACAATCCATACACTGATTACAGTTCAGCCTCAATGACAGGGACAAAAATTTCTGTCACAGCTCCATCAATGAGTGAAAGATTATACTGGAAACTTTTTTATTCATTTTTTCTTTTTGTTAAATGAAGGACACTTAAAAAGCTTTGAAATGTTTCTCTAATTTGCACACTACCGGCATTTCCTTTGGACTGGACAGCAAAAGCTCTTGTCCATACTGTAGCTTATTTAGGGCAAGAAGCAACCGCTTAGACAGTAATCATAGTGACATGCAAATCACTTACACAAACTATTTCACAGACTCACAGACATAAAACAAAACAGATGTACCTGCAGTTCATCTAGTTTAATACTAGGTGCTACAAATAGTGTATTTAAACTAAAATATTAGGGCTGTCAACTTAATCGTGATTAATCACATTGTTTGTGTTTGTGTTTACATAATATGTGGGTACACGTGTATAATTATTTTGTATATATATATAGGGCTGTCAAACGATTAATCGCATCCAAAATAAACGTTTGTGTTTTCATAATATATGTGGGTGCACTGTGTATAATAATTTATATATATATATATATATATATATATATATATATATACACACACATGCTTGTATATATTTAAGAAATATTTTTATGTAAATACTGTATATGGATTTATATATATAATTTATATTATATATACACATTTAAATATTTTACATATAAATAATATTTTTTCTTAAATCTACATGCATGTGTGTGTGTGTGTGTGTGTGTGTGTGTGTGTTTATATATATATATATATATATACAAAATAATTATACACAGTGCACCCACATATATTATGTAAACACAAACTTTTATTTTGGATGCGATTAATCACTTGACAGCTGAGCCCTAATATATATATATAATATATAAATCTAGCCTATATTATATACATAAAAATATTTCTTAAATATATACAAGCATGTGTGTGTATTTTATAAAATAATTATACACAAACTTTTATTTTGGATGAGATTAATCGTTTGACAGCCCTAAAAAATATACATATTTGATGTCACTAACCTGGTAAACTTTAGTGAATCCAGAGATCATTTCATCTTCCATGCACTTGCTGTGTCAACCATGACTTTGTCTCCAGTCAGATTGGTAAAAATAAACAACAACAACATGCTGTTGCTCTATAAAAATGCATCACGCTTCTGGGTTTCATGGGCGGGATTTTGTCAACTTTGTGCATGTCCATTGTCCACTTCCGACGCAGTTCAACAATGGCTGAGACGAAGGCTATATATGTCACTGCTCTGTTCCATTTTGTAAATCTAACCAGTAACGCCAACCCTACGTACGTTTTCATGGATTCCCGACTGAATTGAGTATAAAAAAGAACTGGATTAAAACTTTAAAATAAAACAAGGTACGTTTGTTTGCAGCCGGCACTTTAGTGAATCAGACTAATTTACCAGGGATGCCGTATAAATAAACTTAGTGTACAAAGTGTACACGCAAAAGAAAATCATTCAATTATTGGCCAAACTTGATTAACTCAGGTGTGTCTGAATATTGTCGCCGTGACTACTGATGTCAGGCACACCTGGATTAATCAATTTGTCCAATAATGGCAGACAGGAAACAAGAAGCTGGCTTAAGTTCAGGAAGTAGTGCAGCTGAGCTCCTGTCTAAGTACTTTTAAGATGGAGGGGCAACATGGCGACCGACATTAGAACCCCTTACCCGTATGTATTTTCAATGGCATATTATACACTAATGAGAATACTTTATTACTTGAATGATGTAAATATACATTAATGAGCACATATATTTTTTTGAAGGAATTCAGTGTTTTTTTTAGCTAAGAATAAACTAAAAGAGTTACACAGTGTAGCTTTAAGTCAAAAAAGTTCTTTGACATGAATACATTATGGACAAATAAGTGACAAACCACACAGCCTTTTATCTTCAACTTTTATTTGAAATGATTTAACGCAGGGGAAACCGAGCATCATGTTTGTGGAGATATAAAAGTCTTTACCAAAAAAACAATCCACAAAATGTTTTTGTCATGTACTCATGACCATACCATGCTCAAGCATCCCACTAACTCTATCTCAGCACACGGAGGTATCTCACCATTTAATAAATAAGCCTCTTATCAGCGCATAGTATTTAGTCATAATTTTCAAGGGGCTTTCAAGAACATACCTTTGTTACAAAAAAGCAAATATAAATGTTATCAAAGCAATTACAAAAATCAAACAACGAGCAAGAAAGGCAAAGAACCCTGAAGTAAATAATATTGGCAAAATAAAGCAATTGGCACAAACAAAAAAAATGTACAGAATTAATAAATTATAGGCACTCATTTTTTAAACAAACTTGCTGAACATCAATAATATGCTAGTGTGCAGCAAGATGTTCAGGTGGCATTGCCATTCAGTTACCCTAGTAAGCTGTGTTTTTAAAAGAATATTTCACCCAAAGATTACAATTCTGTCATCATTTTCTCACTCTCAAGTTGTTTCAAACCTGTATGACTGACTGGCTATTTTGAAGAATGTAAGTAACCAAATAGTTGATGGACCCCATTAACTCCACTTTAAGAATTGGGGTCCGTCAACTCTTTGGTTACCCATATTCTTCAAAATTCATAGAGGTTTGGAACAACTGGAGTGTGAGTAAATGACACAATTTTCATTTTGTGGTGAATCATCCCTTTAATTCTTTGCTTTTTATCAATTATTTTTCATTCTGAGAATGATATCAAATTACATGACCAGGAATATTCCAAAATTAATAGTACATAAGCACTACATTTCACCCACACAAGCACAACTTTTTATGACCCTTGCCACAAAGACATTATCACTAGGACATCATCTGATGAACAAAGTTTGACCACACAACAGTTCAGTCAATTAAGTTGATCTCAGGCTTTTATGTTCAATGAATTTCCCATTTTCCAGTAAGGACAAACACAATTCATGAAATTTGATTTGAAATTCTCACTGATCCATGTTTCTTTTCAAAGAAACTGCGTATCTGAAGGCTCAAACTAAATACATTTGTTCAAAAACTCTGAAATGCATCCATTATTCAGACATTTAAAATGCTTTGGAAACATAGCTTTGCAGTTGAGGTTTCACAATGACATTCAGAAATAAAGATACATACATATATATATATATATTTTTTTTTTTTGAGACCAAATACTGTATGAATAATCTTTGAACGAAATATCTTAAATAATGATTTCAAATAAATAAGAGGTCACATAGATATGAAAGACAATCTGACAGAATGCAATTGCCATGTGGACTCTGTGTTGCCATACAAACCTTTCCCACGTGAGCCAAAAGTGAAGGTCAATTTGCACAAACTAACAAGGGTTCGCCACTAATGTTATCACAGAAAAAAACAAGCTATTCAACTTTCTTCTCTGCTGGGTTTTGGGGGATTTGCAAGCAGGATAGTGTGTTCGAGCCGTTTGCGGTACAGGTGCTGTTTGGTTAGGTGAGGGCGAATCCCTTTCGTATGTTTCTTTGGCATTCTGTGGCGTCCAGTCTGCCTTCAACATCTATCCTGCTGGGATGAGAGCTCTGTAACGTCAAATGAAAGAGGACAGAATCATTTGTTTGGAAGAATGAGTCTTGTTTGTGGGGGTTAAAGACGTATCTCTATAAAGTGCCAGGTTGAACTGATTCTAGGCATGCTCAGTAGCAGCCTTCTCTCCAGCTCTCGTCTCTCATACCGCTATACGTCCTTGGAGCTGGCAGAGCAGACCTGCAGAGCAAACCACAGACTCACTCAGTATGTTGGACTTCGTACGCTTACTATTTATCGGTATTGAGTCATGAGAAGCCGGGAGTACCTGCGCACTGGCTGGACCAGTTTGCTGCGAGGCACTGGTAAACCTCCTCCAGCATTGGTGGCGGGGCGGGG